TTTGAAACCCAAAGTTAATTTAATTACCTTCTTTGAGTACATTTTTTTTGGAGTTAACAAATTTTTTGAATTTGACTTTTTCAAAAACCAATAATAAACTCTTCCATGCAAATCGAAATTTTCTTTCCTCCGTCTTGCAAACTTCTGTGCCAGACAGCTTGATATCAAGAAGTAGTTTTCACTGCATCCAAAATATGAGTTCAATGGATAATAACCTTTTGGGACATTATATATCATATTACTATTAGAGTAGTCTCATCTGAAAGAAAGTGGTCAACCATTGGGTTGCCTTCTAAAAATATTAGGTTAAAATTCAGAACTCATTGCAGCACTAATAAAATAACTAAAAATTGTACATTGTGATTTTTCAAAAAGTATTTTTATTATATATCGTTTTCAAATTATTATATGCAAAAATTAGTATCCGTACAAATATATACACACATAGATTTCTCAAAAATTTGCTAAAATAATCAGAATGTATATATGGCTTTTACTAATGTGACATTTTAATGATTTCTTTGAAAAAAAAATACGCAAAAGTGCTAGAAATAATTTGCAACTAATTTTTCAGGTTGCAACTACCAATTTTAGATAATTAGTTCTTCAATTAAGTCTGGTCAAAACTAGAAATAAATACCAATAGTTTAAATATAGCTTTTTTATTCATTTTATCAATATTTATAATAATGTATTCATTAATAAATTAGACATTATTTTTATCCTGTATCGTATTGTTCCAACACACATTTTTTCAAAATATCGATAAAACGATAAAAAAATATTTCTAACAATTTATCGATAATTTGAAATAAATACAATAACATTTTTCACTCACAATTAAACATTTATGATTATATTTTGTCTTATACTAGAAATAGAGATTTGTTCCGACTGAACTTTTTTTTAAGTTTTGTCGGAACAAACTTAATGTAATAATAAAAAAATAAATAATAATATATGTACAAATATTTTGAAAGAATGTTTAAATCAAGTTACTAACGGGCAAGTAATATAATTTTTTTGCATCAATAAAAATCAAAATAAATATTCATAATAATCTATATTAATATTACAATTATGTAATTGTATGCTATAATTATTAATTTACTTATTTATTTATATTTTAATATCAAGGAATGAAATTATGGGAAGATCACATTTCAAAAACACCAAATCATATATATATATATATATATATATATATATATATATATATATATATATATATATATATATATATATATATATATATATATATATATATATATGAGAAATGGGATAGAATCACTCAATCACACTTATTATTATTTTTACAGAATAAATTTGTCATAACAATAGTTTGTTTTTCCCAAAAATTCAAGTGTACACTGAGGGTTTTATAAAAAAAATGCATTTTTTGCAGAAAATGCACTTCGTGAAACTGACAGAGTGCTGATGGCAATTTAACAAAAAAATTCAAAAATTATACTAAAAATCATTCAGATTTTTGAAATCAAGTAAATAAGAAACTAATACTTCTGTATTATTTATAAACAAAAAAAAATATATATTAATTTTTTATATCTTGTAAGAAATGCATACAATTTTAAATAAACTATTAGATATTACTCTATAATTTTATCAGAACAAGCCCTCAGTGTACGCATTTTTCTTAATATATTTAATTGGGCTGACGTTTCGTATATAAATTTGTTCCTTCATCACGACAAAAAATCTGATTTTATTTAATTTAGATTTATTATATAAGATTTTCATATAATTAAAACTTGTAGAGGGGACGAAAAACGTTCAGTCAATGACATTCAAGGTCAGTCAATGTCAGTTAAGGTCCTTCAAGGTTAATTATTTGAATATCCTAAATATCCCAAAAAATCTAATTTGTGTTCTTAATTTATTTAATCAGACTGACGTTTCGTCTATAAATTTGTTCCTTCTTCATTTTATATTCGATTTTTATTTAGTTAAATTTCGTTCAGAGAAGAAAAACGTTCAGTCAAGGTCAGTCAAGGTTAATCAAGGTCCTTCTAGGTCATTTCCCATTTCCCATTTCAATCGAGAAATTTAAAATACCCTGCAAAAATATTATTTAAGTCCACAGTACCTTTAGTAAAAGTTCATTCAAAGTATGAAAAACATTGATGAAGGCAACAAACTTGTTTCGAAACTTCGCCAAGAGAAAAAAATAGTATTTATTTAATTAAACCTGACGCATTGGTTTGCCTTGGTTTAGAAAAAAATCAATATTGAAAAATATCTTGGGAAATACAATTTTCATAAAGTGTAAAAAAACTGATAAAGGCTAAAAAAATGTATCAAAACGTCGTTAAAACAGAGAGTACAATTATTTTTTATAATGTTGTACTTATATTGAAAAAATATATGTAAGATAAATGATATGTTGGAAAATATTTGACTAATATAAATTATTTTTATTTATAAAATGTATTGAAGTTAGATGGTTATTTTGCTAGTTTGGACTAATAAAATTACAAAATTACAAATTAAGTGCTGTAAATTAATTTTTATTTTTTTTAATATAAGTACAACACAAACTGATTTTCAGGGTACCTTACCCCGACATATAATTACATAAATCATCAATTATCATTATTATTATGCGAGTTTTATTTTCACCAACTCATCAATTATTATGAGTTTTGTACGAATTCTACCTAAGTTGTTTATACCTAATATGAAAATATTATCATATCATATGAATTTTGGTTTTATTCTAGCATTCTAAGTACCTTCTTGTTATTTATTTAAAATATTGCATTTATGTATATTTTATAAAACGAATATTATTATTAGTCTATAGTTTAAGTACATCATAATAGGATAGTGTAATATAATATATGTAGCAAAATTTTGGACAAAATCATTTTGTTTCGATTGGAGAGATCAAATATTTGCTGACAATGATAAACAATACTTTTGTCTTGACGTAATAGAAATAAGAAAAAAACTTTTGCACAAACCGAATTAAATTTTATTTTGTAAATAGCAAAAAAGAATATTTGACTAATTGTCAAATTTAAATAATTTATTCTTTGGCAGCAATCAAAATAAAAAATAAAGAGCAAAAATAACCCAAAACAAAATCCTAAAAAACCGTATGTAAACAGAATTGCAATTTCGTTAAATAGATACAATACACAAGTACAATACACAATTTTTATATCGAGGTAAAAAATAACAAAAATTTATTCATAAACTTTTATCAAAATAAATAATTTACTTCCTACTATTTTTATTTCCTACTATTTATTACTATTTGATCTCATGGATTCCAACAATTCACGACTTCATTTTTATTTATTATATTTTATATAACTAATACTGTTTATAAATATTCTATTATTATTATTATTATTCTGATATATTATTATCATTAAGATTAAGATATAATTGGATTTATTTAGTTGGAATTATCTTATTTATGGAATCGGATATACATTTCGTGAAATCGTTGGAATCCTTTGGAAACAAAATGATTTTGTTTGAGAAATTTGAGACATGGGTCCAGGAAAAAAAAATTAATGGATAGAGTATTTCACAATGTTGTGAAAAATACAAAATCTCACATACAAAAAAAATACTTGATGCAATTTTAATTTTTATTCAATTAAAACTTGTAGAGGGCTAAAGGACAAAAAACGATCAGTCAAGGTCATTCAAGGTGATTCAAGATCAGTCAATGTCAGTTAAGGTCCTTCAAGGTCAATTATTGGAATATCCCAAATATCCCAGAAAAAATCTAATTTATGTTCTTAATTTATTTAATCAAGCTGACGTTTCATATATAAATTTGTTCCATCTATATTTTATATTCGATTTTTATTTAGTTAAATTTCGTTCAGAGAAGAAGAACGTTTAGTCAAGGTCAATCAAGGTTATTTAAGGTAATTCAATGTCAGTTAAGTTCCTTCAACGTCCTTCTAGGTCTTTTCATTCGAGAAATTTAAAATATTCTGCAAAAATATTATTCAAGTCCACAGTACCTTTAGTAAAATTTCATTCAAAGTATGAAAAATATTGATGAAGGCAACAAACTCCAAGGTCAGTCAAGGTCAATTAAGGTCAGCTAAGGTCATGTAAGGTCATTCAAGGTCAGGCAAGATCAGACAGTGTCAATCAAGGTCAGTGAAGGTCAGTATATCAATTAAGGTCTAACAGTCTGACACATTCTCATTATTTTTCTCGATTTTGTTGAAGTTAAGAATTTTGAATAGTTGCTAAACAATTTCAGAGAAAAATCTTGAATTGAAGTACATTAGCCTAAAATCAATAAACGCCAAATACCAAATTATAAGTTGACCCAATCATCAGTATATGTGCTAAATATAAATTCCTAGATCTACAACTGATTTATAATTTTTTTTAAAGGACACTTGTCTCAAATTTTCCGAATTTCTCGACGATGATGATTTTGTCTAAGCATGAGCCTCACTATTTTTCAGTCTGTAATTTTCTAAACAACTTAAACGTTACAAATGCATTTCACATTCATGAATCTAATAACAAAACCTTTTGCTGAAATGCAAATATTAGCTAGATAAATTAAGTAAAAAATCTTGATAAGAAATTAGAGAAAATGTGATAAAAACCTACAACTTCTCTAAAATCTTCTAAAACAATATTTTATTAATACTGCTCCACCAACAAAAAAAATCGTCTACCCTAACAATATTTATCTAGTTATAAAAAAGAAATCTACATCACACATTCGTCCTCTTCATACGCCCGATTCTACTCACAGTCCCACCGTTAGGAACTCCGAAGAGCTTCCCAAAACATTACAATTGGATATCACATTTGAGAACCATTGGACGACATCATGACACACGCGCCATTGGTAAATCACAAACATTCGCCGAATTTTTTGCACAAGGTAAAGGTAAATGTCTGATGGGTACTTTTTACTACTTCGCAACCTGGGGGTGGATTTAGATCTTGGTTTGGCCAGTTGACCATCACAATCGGAAGAATCTTTGGATTCAATTTATTTGTACACCCGTTGGTCTTCTGAGACCTCGTCCTGGATCCTGATCTTTTCCTGGATCTTTGGTGTCGTCGCTCCTGGTGTCTGCTGATGATCCATTATTGGTGCAATCCAGGATTTCTTTTCGGCATCTACAGCATAATGACGTGTGTTTCATGTCTGTGTGTAAGGTTGACGACTGTTGTGCAGAATTATTTGATGTCCTGTTTAGGCGACGGGGAAGGCTGGACGCGTTCGTCAAGCGTTTTCTGGTCTTTTCCGAACCGCCGTCACTGGAATCACTCGCGCTGCGATTGGAGAAAATTATGGATTAAATATAAAGGTCATAGATAAAGGAAAATATATATATATAAAACAAAACAAAAGCTGACAAATGTTTATGTTAATTTAGCAAAGAATTTGGGAATGACTCTGAAAACACTGTGATAACTCAAATTATAGAATTAGTGGATTACGTAACTCGTAAGACATTATAATTAGGTTTTGTCGGTTTTAGGAAACCGGTTTCCAGGAAAAAAATATGAAAAACAAGTAGTAGAATTAGTACCGTAGTACCGGTATCTTAAACTAAATAATAGTGGAAAAAACGAAAAAATAGCAACGAATAATAATACTTTTTGATGAAAATGATTGACACATTTTGCTCTCCACTTTAAAATAGCATGGTTAAAAAGTACGTAAACGTATCGTAAACTTAATAAGAGTGCTCAAAATAAATAAAAAATAACAACAAATAAAAATAGTTCTGTTACAACATTTAGGGGGATAT